AGCCCAAATATTTTTTGATGAGCCTAAATATTTTTAGACGAGCTTAAACATTTTTATAAATGAACTAAATATTTTTAAACGAGTCTAAATATTTTTGAGCAAACCTACATATTTTCAGACCAGCCTAAGTATTTTTATATACGAGCCTAAATATTTTTGGACAAGTCTGAATATTTTTAAACAAATCTGAAATAATAAATGAACTAAATATCTTTGAAGGCGCCTAAATATTTTTGAACAAACCTACATATTTTTAAACGAGCCTAAATGTTATTAAACGAGCCTGAATATTTTTTGGCGAGTCTAAATATTTTTGGACAAACCTAAATATTTTTGGACAAGCCTAAATATAAAATATTTATATAGATCAGCCTAAATATTTTCGAACAAACCTACATATTTTTAGACGAGTCTAAATATTTTCGAACAAACCTAAATATTTTTTGAGTACCTAACTATTTTTACAGATGATATTTTTAGACAAGCCTGAATATTATTAAACAAATCTGAAATATTTTTAGACTAGCCTAAATATTTTTAGACGAGCCTAAATATTTTTATATTACGAGCCTAAATATTTTTGAACAAACCTAAATAGTTTTGAATAGACCTACATATTTTTAGACAAGCCTGAATATTATTAAACGAACTTAAATATTTTTAGACAAGTTTGAATATTTTTAAACAAACCTGAAATATTTTCGGACAAGCCTAAGTATTTTTATAGACGAGCCTAAATATTTTTAAACGAGCTTCAATATTTTTGGACAAACCTAAATATTTTTGGACGAGCCTAAGTATATTTATAGACGAGCCTAAATATTTTTAGACGAGCCTAAATATTTTTGGACGAGCCCAAGCATTTTTAGGCAAGCTTAAAAATTTATAGACAAGCTTTCTGAGCTATAAAAAAATATAGGAATAAAAATATACAGGTCAGCTAAAAATTATATAGACAAGGGAGAGGTGTAGTAAGATATCACATGTATTTATTTTTTGCCTAAGTTTTTTTTAAAAAAAAATCCAAATATTTTTAGAAAAAAAAATTGAAAATATCACAATTTTTTCTCGAAACTAAAAATACGCCTGATGTTTGATCAGGAAAGAGGGGGGGAGGGGTAATTTTGATTTTTACCACGTATCACCAAGGTGGAGAAGGGGTCGAAAAATCCTTTACAAATCGATCACGTGATTAATGGATTATTATTTATTTTGGATTATTTGTGGAAAGATTATTTATAGATAGACTTGTCTAACACAATATTTTGCCCAAATATGATATCTGCAAAAGTATTTGTAGTCTCGAAGATACTTCTGCATAAATTACCAAAATTTGACACTTTTGGGAAACAACAGTCCCTCAATCCCTCAATCCCTCAACCCCTCGATCCCTCGATCTCCTCGTCGACTCCTCATCATTTACAAAATCTGTTGCATCGCAAACGAGTGACTTTTCATAAAAGCAATACTCGCGAAGTAACTCATACTTTCCTTCTGCATTTTTTTTTTGCACCACCACCGCCACCAACCCTTATATTTTCTTTCTCCTTGATGCCTTTTCGATAAGCCAACACCACCATCCATTTCTTCAAGTCAGAGTAGTCGTTTCTTTCGAGCGCCTGTCTGCACTTGCAGGCAAGTGTTGTATATCGAAATGAAGGTGCAAGAAATGAATAACGTTCGAGTGAAAAAGTGAAAAAAAATCAAGGGAATCGAAATAAAAAGACTAAGGGTATAATGAAAAAAAGTAGACTGAGTCGGTGTCGGAGACGAAGGCAACATGTTGCAACGACATTGCCCTTGCCTTGCCTTGCCCTTCGACGAAGACGGTAATGGATTTTGCGATACTCATTGCAAGAGGGTGTAGGGCTAAGAAAGGGTTTGTGAACCTAAGGATTGTATTGAAAATAGTTAATGTTTTATCAAGATTTGTACAAAAATTGATATTTTAGAAAACCTAAAAATTTAAGTCTAAAAGTGTATAGAGAGTCTGAATAAATATAAATGAACTTAAAATTACAACCAAGACTAAAATTATTGACGAGCCTTAAACATATATAGACGAAACCCAAAATATAAATACTAATACGCCTAAAAATTAGTGAAGATGTCTAAATTTGAATTCAGAAGTCTGAGAATAAATAAAGAAACCTAAAAATAATCTATACGGTGATTATTTTTAGGCTTCTTTATTTATTCTCAGACTTCTCTATTAAAAAATAAAGAAACGTATAAATAAATTAAAAAGGATAAACAAAAATTAAATAGTTTAAAGGTAAAATACAGAAGTTCAAAAAACGACTTTGAAAATAAATAAATTAGCCTAAGACTAAATACAGATAGCCCAGATAAAATATTAAAACGAGTTTAAATATATAGAATGTTTTAATAATATATAAAAGTGCCTAAAAATGTACAGAACAGCCTTAACTATTTTGAAAAGTCAAGAAATATATGTTCGACCCAAAATTAGTATTATTATAAACGAGTCAAAAATCATTGAAATCAGCATGTGTGGTAATGGATATGAAAATATAAACTCCACTTGTATAAAAATATATAAAACTTATTGACTATGAAAATTAATGATATGAAAATATAAATGACAAGTCCAATTGTTTTTCTACAATCACTAGCCTGCTTGATTTCCCCACAAGCATAAACAAGTTTAAAAATTTTTGGACGAGCCTAAATATTTTTAAACGAGCCTATAAATTTATAGAAGAGCTCATAATATAAATAAACTAAGGACTATGAATATTTTTAGACAAGCCTAAATATTTTTAGACAAGTCTAAATATTTTTTATTAAACCTAAATATTTACAGACAAGTATAAATATTATTAGAGGAGCCTAAATATTTTTAGAGAAGCCTAAATATTTTTGAACAAGCCTATAAATTTATAGACGAGCTCAGAATATAAATAAATATAGGTCGAAAAATATACAGGTCAGCCTAAAAATTATATAGACGAGAATATAAAAATATAAAGACGACAGAAATATATATAGACGAGTCTAAATATTTTTAGATGAGCCTAAATAGTTTTGAACAAGCCTACATATATTTATACAAACTTAAATATTTTTAGACAAGCTTAAATATTTTTGAACGTATCTGCAAAGTTTTAGACGAGCCTAAATATTTTTAGACTAGCTTAAATATTTTTAGACGAGCCTAAATATTTTTAGACGAGCCTAAATATTTTTAGACAAGCTTGAATCTTTTTAATCGAGCCTAAATATTTTTATAGACGAAACTGATAATTTTTTGGCGAGCCTAAATAATTTTTGAACAAGCCTACATATTCTTGAACGAGCCTAAATGATTTTGAACAAACCTACATTTATTTAGACCAGCCTAAATATTTTTAGACGAGCCAGAATATTTTTGGACGAACCTAAATAATTTTAGAAGAATCTAAATATTTTTAAACAAACTCAAATATTTTTAGACGAGCCTAAATGTTTTTGGACGACTCTAATTATTTTTAAACGAGCCTAAATATTTTTATAGACGAGGCTGATAATTTTTTGGCCAGCCTAAATAATTTTTGAACAAACCTACATATTCTTGGACGAGCCTAAATGATTTTGAACAAACCTACATTTATTTAGACGAAATATTTTTGGACGAGCCTAAATAATTTAAGACGAGTCTAAATATTTTTGTAGGCGAGCCTGAATATTTTTTGAAGAGCCTAAATATTTTTAAACGAGACTGAATGATTTTAGACAAGCTTGAATCTTTTTAGACGAGTCTAAATATTTTTTAGGACGAGCTTAAGTATTTTTAGCGAGCTCAAAAATTTTTGGACAAGCCTAAATATTTTTATAGACGAGCCTTTCTATAGACAAGCTTGAACCTTTTTATAAGCAAGCCTAAATGTTTTAAAACGAATCTAAATATTTTTATGGACGAGCCTAAATATTTTTAGACGAGCCTGAATATTTTTAGATGAGTCTAAATATTTTTAGACGAACCTAAATATTTTTAGACAAGCTTGAATCTTTTCAGACGACTCTGAATATTTTTATAGAAGAGCCTGAATATTTTTAGACGAGCCTTAATATTTTTAGACGAGCCTAAATATTTTTAGACGAGCCTAAATATTTTTAAACAAACTTAAATATTTTTGGACGAGCCTGAATATTTTTAAACGTTCTTGAATATTTTTAGATAAGCTTGAAACTTAAACGGAGCATGGCAGAATCCGTTTAAATCCGTTTAAATAAGTCTTTCTCATGGAATAACCATAAGTTTGATTTTGACAATCCCCAAATTTTATTCCATGAGAAAGACTTATTTAAACGGAGCATGGCAGAATCAATGTTAATAGTTCGGACTAACAATAGCATAAATCTAAGAACCGACACAAATATTTTACATGACACTTATATAAGCATCATTAATAATTTATAAATTTTTTCATTTATCTTATTCTTTTCGATAAATTAATTTGTTTTTTCATTTTTATCGATTTTGGTATGCGAAACGTCTGTAATCATAAAATACAGTTGTGTTAAACAAATCTGAGTGCTGTTTTATTCATATTAAACAATTAATATATATATATATATATATATATATATGTATATTTATATAGATGTTTATTATAGGGATAATTTCCACCAACCATTTGTCTGTAAACTTTCAACTTTCATCTTTTAAGTTTAAAAATTCAAGCTAGATTAAAAGATTACATTTAATAAAAATAAGGTTTCTCTTGTTTATCGACCCCTTACATTTTTACTTTTTTATTGGAGAGAAAATAATTTTGTTCTTGGAAACAAGATTCCGGAAATAATTAATTAACCAGATAAAAAGGCTATTTTCAGACTTCTATATTTTGGCATTTATATTTTTTGTCTCTGTTACATATATATTTTCACACTTTTAGCTTTCCATAATTAATATAAGCTATCTGATATTGTAAATATATAAACATATAATTCTTAATAATAAATAAATTATTACTAATAATTTTCCTTTTTTCCAGCACCTCCAAAATTCACCCAAAAACCCACAGACAAACGCGTCGGTCTAAACGGTGTTGCCACATTCGAATGCTCCGCATCGGGCAACCCCAAACCCTCAGTCTTCTGGTCAAGGGAAGGTTCTCAACAATTAATGTTCCCTGATAACACATATGGCAGAATTTCTGTGACACCTCAGGGCACTTTAAGGGTCCAGGGGCCGAGAAGGAGGACGAAGGGTACCTTGTTTGTAGCGCCCTTAGCGTTGCAGGGAGTACTACTGTTAGGGCACATTTACAGGTAAGAAATAGAAATAGAAATATTTATAATAATAATAATAGTAATAGACTTATGGGTTAATTCTGGGGTAACATAGACGATAAGATAGTACTCCATCTAAATAATGTTTAAATTTTTGATATCACTGCTGCATGATGAAAATCATTCGTGTATTCTTTATCCAGTGGAATGCTTCTTACAAAACTTGTACCAAGTTTATTTTGTGAATAGAAGAGTGTCTTACTTTTATAAAGTAGTAATAAGATATTATGTTTATAATAATAATATTAGGTTGTCAAATATCTCCCTTCCGCTTTTCTGCTCTTGGTTTATAATACAAAAAGGCGGAAGGGAAATATTTGACAACCTTAATAATAGATTTATGGGTTAATTCTGGGCTAACATAGACGATAAGATAGAACTCCATCTAAACAATGTTTAAATATTTTTGATATCACTGCTGCATGATACAAATAATTCGTTTATTCTTTATCCAGTGGAATGCTTCTTACAAAACTTGTACCAAGTTTATTTTGCGAATAAAAGAGTGTCTTACTTTTATAAAGTAGTAATAAGATATTATGTTTATAATAATAATATTAGGTTGTCAAATATCTCCCTTCCGCTTTTCTGCTCTTGGTTTATAATACAAAAAGGCGGAAGGGAAATATTTGACAACCTTAATAATAGATTTATGGGTTAATTCTGGGGTAACATAGACGATAAGATAGTACTCCATCTAAATAATGTTTAAATTTTTGATATCACTGCTGCATGATGAAAATCATTCGTGTATTCTTTATCCAGTGGAATGCTTCTTACAAAACTTGTACCAAGTTTATTTTGTGAATAGAAGAGTGTCTTACTTTCATAAGATAGTTATAAGATATTATGAGTGTAGTAAATACTGTGAAAATGTCTATCTAATTGCTGTACGATCAGGCGTATTTTTAACTTCCCGAAGGAGAAGTTTATGTTTTCATAAAAAAAATCCGATTCGCTGATTTTATGTTTTTTCCTGGACGTTTCAAGTCATTCTGAATCAAATGAGACCAAATTTGAAAAAAGTATGTATGTGTGTATGTGTAAGTTTGAACCGATTTTTTGCCGTAAATCGACGTTTTCTCAAAAACGGCTGGACCGATTTCAAAAATTTAAAAGCCATTCGATGTATCTCGATGAGGACTAACGTTTATTAGTTTGCGTGACGATCAGCCAAGCCGTTTCTTTGTAAATAGCTGAGAAGAGATAAAAAATCGTCCACGTTTTAGCCCGCAATTCTGAATTGATTTTGAAATTTCAAAAACTGTTCGAAAGATATTGGTTGGGAATCGTGCTGATTAGTTTTTGGTAAGGATCGGCCGGGCCGTTTTCTTGTAATAAAGTGTTAAAAAAGATTTTTTTCGACGATTTTTATGATTTTTTTTTCTGACAAGTCGTTTAATTTTAAATATTCGTCAAAGTTTGCAAAAATTAGTATCGTTTGTTTGGCGTTTGTTAAAATTAGAAATTTCATCGATGTTTTCTCAAAAACGCCTGAACCGATTTTAAAAATTTAAAAGCCATTCGATGTATTTCGGTGTAGATTATCTGTTCTCAGTTTTGTGCGACGATCGGCTGAGCCGTTTCTTTGTAAATAGCATAAAAGTGAAACAAAATTGTCCACGTTTTGGCTCTCAATTCTTTTTCTAAAGATTGACGATTTTTACGAAACTTTTTGTTTTGGCGATAAATATCATAGTCTTGTAGAACATACTAAAATGTTACGGCCCTACGACAAATAGTTTAATGTTAGAAATTCCTCAAAATTTGTGCCAAAAGTTGCTTTTGTGATAAGATAAATCAAACATTATCAATTCACTGAAATTTATAATAATATTATCAAATTTAGAGCTTACAAGCACGTATTTGTGCAATATTATTAATATATTTACAATTAATTTAAATGTTTTTGAGAAAATTCTATTCGAAATCGTTGACTAATTCTATTCGTTAACAGTTGACTAATTTTATCTAAATATCTAAATTTTAATTTCAATTGATTTAATCAATTCTTACACATTTCGGAAAGTTCATGCAGCATGCCTTAAGGCTACATTCCACTTTCTACTAGTTAAAATACGCCTGAGCGCGCTGCAACTAGACATACATGTTCACAGAGTATACTGCCAGGAAAGAAACTTATACTCTATGTTACTGGTCCAAAAATTTGTCAAAATTTAATATATTTTTTACCAAAAAAGTATTTATGCTGAAATTAGTCATCAGGATAAAATGTGTCTTTTATTTTAGGTTACTTCAGTAGAAGACACGCCTCCACCGATTATCCAAATTGGCCCTTCCAACCAAACTTTACCCAAAGGCAGTATGGCAACCTTGGTTTGCCAGGCTACAGGTTCACCTGCGCCTAAAATCAGGTGGACCAAGGACAATGGTGTACCTTTGAAGGATAACAAAGCCTCCAGGATACACATTTCTGGTTCAGGAACCCTAAAAATTGACGGTAAGTGATAAAGTAACTATTTTTTGATATCGCTGCTGCATGATACAATTTTTTTTTTAACTGAATGATCTAAAAAACTTTCTGCTTGTATTGAGAAAACATTGCTTTCGAGGAAAAAAATTATAACATCTTTTTTTTATTTTCCATAAAATATTTTCGTAATTTTGGATTAAAAATTCAGGAAATTACCCAGACTAAGCACAGTCTAAGCGCCACTCTGGTACAAATGTTTACCCAAATGCGTTTAGACTGTTTATGTACTGGAGCACTTTTCCAATTTTCGTGAAAACTATTGAAAAATGTCGCACAGAATTCTTTGCAAATTGATTTATACATCATTATATACAACCTAGTGTTCTTGGTTTGTATGGAAATGTCATATATAAATGTATATATTGATTTATACATTATCATATATGGCCTGCTGTTTGTAGTTTGTATGAAAATTGGATATATAAATGTATATATTGATTTATACGTCATTATATACAACCTAGTCATTATATACAACCTAGTGTTTGTAGTTTGTACGAAAATTGGATATATAAATGTATATATTGATTTATACATCATTATATATGGTAAGTCTATGTGGTTTGTATCCAAATTTCACATATAAATGTATATATTGATTTATAACACATTTATATATGGCCTAGTCTATGTAGTTTGTATGTAAATCTTATTTATAAATGTATATATTATATTATATATGGCTTAATGTTTGGAGTTTGTATGAAAATCTCATATATAAATGTATATATTATATATATATTTATATCTTTTTAGTGATTGCTTTAAGGATAAAAATTATTACATCTTTTTTCATTTTCCATAAAATATTTTCGTAATTTTGGATTAAAAATCAAAAATCACCCGGGCTAAGCACAGTCTAAGCGCCGCTCTGGTACAAATGTTTACCCGAGTGCGTTTAGACTGTTTATGTACTGGAGCACAAATCCAATATTGTGCGAAACTATCGAAAAACGTGAAAATGCCGCCAAGCTAAGCGCAGTATAAGTGAAAATGTCGCACAGAATTATTTGCAAATTCGTTTAGACTGTGACTATACGGGAGCACTTTTTCAATTTTGTGTAAATTAGGCAACTATTTTTTTTTTTTTGAAATTAAATTCGAAATGAAATGACGATTGTTAATGCTTCCGGAGATGAATTGATTTATTTATAATTTACGTTTGATTTGCTCAGATATAACAAGATATTGCAAAAATAATGAAAGTTACTGTATTTGTAATAATATAATTGAAAACGTTTGAAATTTCTCGAATATTTCATTACGCTACGGAAAGTTCCAGCAATTTGCTTTAAGGCACAATGCCATACACCACTAGCCTTAGTTTTATCTCGGTGATTGAGTGATTGCCAACACGGCTAAATCTTGATTGATGGCCAGGATGTTTGTCAAAACGTCTCTGTGCCTGTTTTCTTAGAAAGACGTAGAATTAAAGAAGTTTATCCCGGACAAAAGATGTCGTGATGTATTAGTAGATTAGGAAAGAATTTAGCAAGACTAAATATATATAGTAATGCGAGAGCTAGTTTTGTGAACTTTTTGGCAAACTAGAAAAAAATTAAAAATTGAGTCAGTGGTTCAATTTCCATTTTTTTCGAACATAATCTGTATACTTCTACTTAAGTCTTTAGTTATTTATTTTTTTTTTTTGATGACGTCATGTAGAAGTTGTAAAGCAAATGTCATTTTTTACAATAATAATCGGTACAGTTGTTGTAAAGTAAATGTCCTTTTTTATACAATTATAATTGGTACAGCTGCTTTTTTTGGCTGCTGTAATTTAATTCATTACTTTCCTTAAATTATTTTAAATTTTTTCAAAAATAAATATTCAAACTTTACTTAAGAGTTCAAATCTCTGATCCGAGCAGAGTCATACTTTTAGTGTAACATTTTATCATTTTTTTAAGTTTGCTTGTCAGTAGAGTTCTTTCTATTACATCTATGTTTACCACAAAAAATTTGTCAGTTATTTTTCCAAGTTTAGATCAAGTTTACTCGTCAGTAGAATCTTTTTATAATTAGAATCCAAGTTTCGAATCCGTACAGAACAAACGCGACATATTTTTGGAAAATCAAGAATGTCTACGTGTTTTTTGCTCGTCAGTTGAGTTCTTTTTCTTCAGTGTAACAATGTATCATTATTTTTGTAAATTGAGATTCAGTTTGCTCTTCAGTAGACTTCTGTTTTTTCTAGAATTTGTCGATTTTTAATTTGTTATTTTATATTTAGGACTGAACTACTTACTCGTCAGTAGTTCAAGTTTTTATTTATTACATCTGTCAGTAGAGTGTTCTTTTTATTTTCTGGGTTAATATTAATTTTGCTCGTCAGTAGAGTCCCTTTTTTAATTTTTAAGAACTATATTTAATTTGCTCGTCAGTAGAGTCCTTTTTTGATTTTCAAGAATTATATTTAATTTGCTCGTCAGTAGAGTCCTTTTTTTTATCTTTAAAGACTATATTTAATTTTCTCGTCAGTAGAGTCCTTTTTTGATTTTCAAGAACTATATTTAATTTGCTCGTCAGTAGGATCCTTTTTGATCTTCCAGAATTATATTTAATTTGCTCGTCAGTAGAGTCCTTTTTTCCATCTTTAAAGACTATATTTAATTTTCTCGTCAGTAGAGTCCTTTTTTGATTTCCAAGAACTATATTTAATTTGCTCGTCAGTAGGGTCCTTTTTGATCTTCCAGAATTATATTTAATTTGCTCGTCAGTAGAGTCCTTTTTTCCATCTTTAAAGACTATATTTAATTTTCTCGTCAGTAGAGTCCTTTTTTGATTTTCAAGAATTATATTTAATTTGCTCATCAGAAGAGTCCTTTATTTTTCAAGGATTATATTTAATAAGCTCGTCAGTACAGTCCTTTTTCTAATTTTCAAGAAATATATTTAATTAGCTCGTCAGTGGAGTTCCTTTTTTATTTTTTAAGGCTTATATTTAGTTTGCTCGTCAGTAGAGTCCTTTTTTAATAATCATGATTTATATTTAATTTGCTCGTCAGTAGAGTTTCTTTTTTAATCTTTAAGGACAGTATATAATTTGCTTGTCAGTAGAGTCCTTTTTGGATCTTCAAGACATAAATTTAATTTGCTCGTCAGTAGAGTCTTTTTGAACACGAAGAAGTATATTTAAATTAGTAGAGTCTTTTCAAGAATTATATTTAATTTGTTTGTCAATAGAGTCTTTTTTTCAATCCACAAGGATTATATTTAATTTGTTTGTCAGTAGAGTCCCTTTTTTAATCTTCAAGACATAAATTTAATTTGCTCGCCAGTAGAGTCCTTTTTTAATCATCAAGAATTATATTTAATTTGTTGATCGTCAGTAGAGTACTTTCTAGTAATCAAGAATTATATATAGTTAATTTGGTTCCCGTCAGTAGAGTTCTTTTTCAATTCTACATAATTATATTCAATTTGCTCATCAGAAGAGTCCTCTTTTAATAATCAAGAATTATTGCTCGTCAGTAGAGTCCCTTATTGATCCCCAAGAATTATATTTAATTCGCTCGTTAGTAGAGTCCTTTTTTTCATATTCTATTTTGCTATTTAATTTGCTCGTCAGAAGAGTCCTTTTTTAATCATCAAGGACTATATTTAGTTTGCTCGTCAGTAAAGTCCTTTTTTATTTTTCAAGAACTATATTAAATTTTCTTCGATAATAGTCCTTTTTGGATTTGTAAGAATTATATTTAATTTGCTCGTCAGTAGAGTCCTTTTTTCAATCCTCAATAATAATGTTTAATTTGCTAGTTAATATATTGACAATCAAACAGAAATTTCAAAAGAACTCTACTGATGAGTATGTTAAAATTTCTTTTGTATCTGGAGCAAGAAAAGGACTCTACTGATAAGCAAAATGAAAATCGTAAAAGGACTCTACTGACGAGCTAATTAAAATTGGCCATTGATATATGTATATATATATATATATATATATATATATAATATATTTAATACTTCTGTAAGGGTGTACGATTTGATACTTCTCCTAAACGCTTATTCGGACTTGGATAAATCTTTTTAGAGTTTGGCAAAGAAAATTTTCAAGATTTAATGAACGATAAAACTATCGTAATATTGTAAAAATAAATGGCAAAAATTACAAAAAAAAAAACTTATCATTGAAAACATTTGAACTGTCATCTGCTAGAAATGCCATTCACTTGAAATTTGAATTTAGCTGACATTATGAGCCTAGATAATATTAAAATATAATATTCAAAAAAATGTAATGTTTACATTATTGCCGAAAAGCAGCTGAGATGTGCCAGCAATTAAAATAATAAAGATACAGTCGACAGTATATGATGTTTGGCAGATGAAATTATATAATTCATTCAATAAATAACGCAACAAGTCCAAAATTGCATATACATTATTTGTTTAAACTTATGCATGTTGCATTTTGGTATACATTACTAAATTATTTAACACAAAAAAATATTTCTACTTATTAAAAAATGATTTAGAATTTTGTTTCATGTGTCAAAAATTTATTTTTTTGGCATTGGATATGGAATATTAGCAAATTGATCTTAGATTGAATAGTGCACCCTATGAACTAGATTTTACAAATTAATTCACCTAAGATTCGAACATGAACAATAATGTTTATTAAATTATTAGTAAGAAAAATGTACTCTAGAAATTATAATTGCCAAGAAGCAACTAATGAAAATTATAGACTAAATTATTGAAGCAATTATGGTGTGTGGTAAAATCAAGTGTGATATTGTTCTTTTACCGCTGACACTATATTAATTTTTATCAGAATTTTTTATAATGCTTATACTAAGACCATAAATAAATCACAAAGGCAGGACAACACATAGGATATTAAAAAGTATGGGATAGGATATTAAAAAATTGGCACTTTTGAATTGTAGACGTGGGTACAGGACAACTTTTGTCGGTTCATCTAGTATATATATATATAATTTTGAATACAATCAATATCTACTATATACTAATATCATCTCAGCGAACATACAAAATCAATCTTCGCAGGAAAAATAAAAATTATCATATTCAATTTTGCAGACGCCGTAAAATATATAAAATATTTCGCGCTAAAATAAACCGCGAACGTAAATGTAAAGGATATACATTTTTCAGGAACAGAAAAACAGATATATCCTGGAAAATCCCTCAGGACTTGTATGAAATATATATATATATATATATATATATATATATATATACATATCCTTTTCTATATTTTTCCGCTCAATCGAACGCATAATTTCCCTTAAGTGGCGTAGAAATTTTTCGATGTTCGATGCAATTTCCCAAGTATTGTCATAAAATCAGCCAATCACCCTTCGATTCATTTCAAATATTCATGTTTTTGTGTGAAAGGGAAAAAAGTGACACGTGTGCGACTACCCTAACTAATTCATGTGCGAATTTGTCGCTTTTATAATTTTTTACCCTCGGAAATCCATTCACCGGATCAATGACACAGTCAAGTGGTTATAGACATGAAATTGTGTCAAATCATGTAGAAAAAGAAAAATGATATATATATATATATTTTCAAAGGTATTTTGTTCTACACTGGTAACACTAATTGCCACGTTGCGTTAACATCTGAACTGAAGAGTACAAGTTTTGTACTTTTTTTAAATTATCTCAAAAACTATGAACAATAGAAAAAAATAGTTTGAGAACAAAATATAGCTTATAAAATTCTGAATCTAAACTATTATATAATTTTGTATGGAAATGAACATATTATTGAATTGATTATTATATGTTTTTGACGTCAAAAATCTGCATTGGCACCCAGATTTTAATATAAGTTTAATATTAGGATAAAATAAGATTAAAATATAAATATTTTAATGATTTAATATAAGTATTTTTACATTGGAGGTTATGTATATTTCTACACAGGCAACACTAAAAGTTCCGTTATGTTAGCAAGTGAAGTTAGTTACACATGAAATGCCTTCGGTTTCGAAGGGTGAAAATTTTTACATTTTCTAAATTATCTCATAAACTAAAAATACTAGAAAAAAATAGTTTGAAAACAAAATATCGCTCATAAAATTTTCTTTTCAATAGAATCTATTATATAATTTTGCCCACACATCCTTCGTTTTTCATTTATACAATTTCAAAATTCGTTTTATTGGATTTATCTTATTTCTACAACATGAAATGCCTTCGGGTTTGAAGGGTACAAATTTTTACATTTTTAAAGTATCTCAAAACTCAAAACACTAGAAAAAATAGTGTGAGAACAAAAATAGCTTATAAAATTCTATATCTAACCCATTATATAAGTTTGCCCCCACATCCTTCGTTTTTTATTTACACAATTTCAAACTCCTTTCCTATTGAACTCCACTTATTTCTACAATGTTAACATACTAATTGTATTAAAATTTATGGATTTTTATATTGGTAAAACAATTGTGTTAAATTAAAAATTGAAACTCATGTAATTTTATATTGTTGATACTGATTTAATTATAAGTTATATATATATGTACACTGGTATTTGTTTCGTTGCGTTGGCACTTGAAGTTAGTCACGTATGAAATTGAAAGGTACAAATTTTTACGTTTTTTTTTAATATCTCAAAAACTATAAACACTAGCAAAACGTAGTTTGAGAACAAAATATAGCTTATAAAATTTTGAATCCAACCTACTACTACATTTTTTTCCCAATTCATCACTTTTACTTGTACACAATTTTAAACTTTGTTAATAGAACTGCCACCACGCTCTGATAGTTAACATGTTTCAGCGTCGAGTTTTGTAAATACGAAGAAATTAAAGAGTACAAATTTTTACTTTTTCAAAATTATCTCAAAAATTATAAACACTAGCAAAAAATAGTCTAGAAACAAAATATTGTTTATTAAATTCTAAATCCAACCTATTACTACATTTTTCCTTCATGTTATCCTTTTTCCTTCAAACTATAAACTAATAATGTTCCTCCCTTTACGAAAGCTCTAATGTGTTTTGAGGCGTTGAGTTTCCTAAGTGGAAAATAAATTGCGAAGAAAAATGAGCAAAAACCTGCGAACTCTGATAGAAAATTACGCTTTTTCTATTGGTCGTTAAGAAATCATCAATTTCCTGCTTTTTGCATCGAGAACGAACTAGTAATTAAACTCGAATTGCAAAGGGAAAGATTTGTTTTGGTTTGAAATAAATAGAAACGTAGTAAAAGAAACAGTTTTGAGTTTGAAAACGTGTGAAAAAGAATAATGTGTGCGTAAAGTGATGTAGTGGGTTGGATACAGAATTTTATAAGCTATATTTTAGTCTCAAACTATTTTTTTCTAGTGCTTATAGTTTTTGAGATAATTTAAAAAAAGTAAAAACTTAAACCTTTAAATTTCATATGTAACTAACTTCAGCTGCCAACGCAACGAAACAATTAGTGTTGCCAGAGTATAAATAAATAACTTATAACTAAATCAGTATTAACAATATAAAAATACATGAATTTCAATTTTTAATTTAATACAATTAGTTTTACTATAATGTAGAAGTACATAAATTTTAATACAATTAGTATTATTATTGTAGAAATAAAAGGAATTCTGTAGGAAAGGAGTTTGAAATTGTGTAAATAAAAAACAAAGGATGTATGGGCAAAGTAATGTCATGGGTTAGATGCAGAATTTTATAGGCTATATTTTGTTTTCAAACTATTTTTTCCTAGTGTTCATAGTTTTTGAGATATTTCAAAAAAAGTAAAAATTTGTTCCCTTCAATTACATACGTAACTAACTTCAGGTGCCAACGCAACGAAATAATTAGTGTTGCCAATGTATAAATACATAACTTAAAATATACATAAATAAAACAGTACTAAAATTATAAAAACTCGGGAATTTCAATTTTTAACTCAATACAATTAGTATTTAATTTATTTTAATTTACTAATGTAGAAATGCATAATTGTTAATACAATTAGTGTTATTATCGTAGAAATAAGAGGAGTTCAATAAAAAAGAAGTTTGAAATTGTGTAAGTAAAAAATGAAGAATGTAAAAGAAAAATAATGTAATAGGTTGGATACAGAATTTTATAAGTTTTATTTTGATCTTAAACCACTTTTTTCTAGTGTTCATAGTTTTCGAGATATTTATTAAAAAAAATAGAATTTGTACCCTCCGAATCCGAAGGCCTTTTACATGCAACTAACTTCACTTGCTAACAACTAGTATTGCCAGAGCATAAATAATTAACTAATAATTACATCAGTATTAAAAATATGAAAACACATAATTGAATAATTAATTTATATTAATACATAATAAAATACAATTTATTTTGACTTGCATAAATTTTAATACATAAATTTAATAGAATTTAAAATAAAAATAGAATGAAATTTTAATGCATAAATTATATAATAGATTCGATTGAAAATTTTATGAGCTATATTTTGTTCTGAAACTATTTTTTGCTAGTGCTTATAGTTTTTGAGATAATTTACAAAAAGTCAGAGCTTGCACCCTTCGAACCCGAAGGCATTTCATGTGTAACTAACTTCACTTGCTAACGCAACGAAACAATTAGTGTTGCGTAGACATTTATAACCTCAAATGTAAAATTACTAATATTTAATTATTAATAAAATTAGTGTTGCCAAAGTAGTTTGTTGATGTCAAAACACAATTTTTCTTACTCACTTATATAAAGGGTCCGCCAAATAACTTTATTTTTTTTTACAAACTACTGAATATTTTCTAAAATTTCTTTTTCTATTTGAAAGTACAATCCTCTCAGTTAATAACGAAATTAATTTAGTTAATAATTTAATTCAAAAATGAAAAAATAAGCCTCGGCTGACCGTTGAGAAAAAAATGAAAATGAAAATGAAAATGAAAAATGTTAGATGGCATACCCTATATATAGATCTTCTTTGGCAGTTTTTTTTTGGCAGTATAAGTCCAAAGCAGTTTCCTGGTTCTTCAATATCAGCAATATGAGCAATTTTTCTCATTTTTCAGATCTGCAAGTCACTGATTCAGGACACTACACTTGCACAGCATATTCAGAAAGTGGAGAGACATCCTGGTCATCTTCTTTGATGGTAAGTTGAACAATTGACTAGAAATTTTCTCTGATGACTCTATTTTTGCTTAATTTTTTTCTTTTTTTAGGTCGAAAAAAACCCATCATCTCATTCTACGACCTTACACAGATCACCAGATCCTAGTACATTTCCAACATCACCAGGAACCCCTAGAGTCCTTAATTTGACTGAATCCAGTGCAACCCTAGCCTGGGTTCGAGGCCCAGAAAGGCACAATGCCAGCCCACTATTAGGGTAAGTGGATAAAGGATACATCTTTTTCCTCATTTGACGCATATATCAAGACACCTTGTTTTTTCCAGATACTCCGTGGAATACTTCAGTGCTGATTTGCAAACTGGTTGGGTAGTTGCAGCCAGTAGAATTGCTGGTGAAAGTATAACAGTAAGTACTTGGTCTTCAAATCACCACCAATTGTCAACAATTATAATACCAGATTTTCCTTTTAGATCAACGATCTCAAACCAGGTACCTCCTACGTCTTTCTGGTACGTGCAGAAAACTCGCAAGGCATGTCTGTGCCAAGTGGCTTGTCTAATGTCATAAGAACACCCAGACAGGAAAAAGGGCTCTTTAGGGTCCCTTGGTGAAAATTTGGCCCAAAAAGATGCAATGACCCAACAGGAACTGGAAAATGCCAGGATGGTTCTAAGTGGCAAAGTTGTAGATTTAAGGGATGCACAACCTACTAGCCCTACAAGTGTAAGGGTTGTTTGGCAACTGCAAGTCAGCCATAGCGAAAAATACTTAGAGGTAAATAATAGATGATAAAAATTATTTGGGAGCACACTAACATGTTGTTTTTGTTCCAGGGTATATATATTCGTTTTCGTGACTTGACAAGTGGTTCCCAGAAATACAACATCCTGACAGTCCCAAAAGCAACTGTTGAGACTTACATTGTAAACAATCTCAAGAAATTTACCAAGTACGAATTTTTTGTTTCACCTTTTTACAAAACTGTTGAGGGGCAACCTAGTAACTCCAAAATTGCGCAGACCATGGACGACGGTAAGTAGATAGAAAAATATTTATGCTTTAATCTCCAAAATAGTATATTAAATTTTCTGTTTTTTTTAGTACCTTCTGCACCACCAGATAATATCCAAACAGAAATGCTAAATTTGACAGCAGCTTTGATCAGATGGTCACCACCACCAGCCCAACATCATAATGGGATCTTACTGGGATACAAAATACAAGTATAGAAAATTGAGTGACTTCAAAGTTGGCTTGATGTTTATGATTCTATTTCCTTGTTTTTAGGTGAAAGCTGGTAACTCCAGCAAAATCCTGGCACAAATGTCTCTAAACTCCACAACTTTGTCAGTGATGCTCAATAATTTGACGACAGGAGCTTCATATAATGCCAGAATTGTTGCTTACACCAGGATGGGAGCCGGCCCTTATTCATCCCCGGTAAAAATTAGACTTAAGGATTTTCTATTACCTTTGGATAACTATTTATATCCATTTGTCTGCCAGGTCTCTCTGGTAGAAAAATAGACTTACGACTTTGCCAGCTTTTTCTTCAGCTTTGGATAACTATTTATATCCATTTTTCTGTCAGGTCTTCCTGGTAGAAAAATAGACTTATGACCTTACAAGATTTTCTATTGACTTAGGATAACTATTTCTCTGTCAGGTCTCTCTGGTAATGGATCCTGCCCTCCTACAAGCTCATCCAAGGGCTCATCCAAGTGGTGGAAATGGTGGATCCCGAACAGGTGCCCAAAGTGTTGTCCAGGAAACCTGGTTTGTGGCAGTTATTGCAGTAATGCTCCTGGCTTTCCTGTTGGCTGCAGGTGCTGCTATGATGTTATTCAGGAGACGCCAACAGTTGACCAAGGAACTCGGGCACTTGAGTGGTAAGATGATAAATGATAAGGGATCGTTCAAGTATTACGTAAGCAGATTTAGTATAATCATTTACCCCCCCCCCCCTGTCCCTCTTTGTCAGCAAAAGTGAGCAAAGATGTCACCAAAATGTCATCCAGAATAAGTAATCAATAACCCCTCCGCCCGCCAAAGTGCTTACGTAATACTTGTACTGCCCCTAGCAACCTGAAGGTTTTTGCAATATTTTGGTTTTTTCCAGTGCCTGTTGTCAACGCCAATGAAATCGCTGCTCTTAACATGAACGGTAAGGAGACTTTGTGGATAGACAGAGGTTGGAGACCTGCAGACACGATAAAGATTCTGGTTTATCGGAAACTAAGTTGTTGAATGCACCTGGACAACCGTATTCTGATAGTGCTACTGATTATGCAGAAGTCGACACCAGGAACATGTCGACGTTCTACAACTGCAGAAAGGTAAATATAACATATTTTTGTTTGCTTGGTTTGGAATTTTATGTATCTTCTTCCTAGTCTCCTGAAAATCCGACGCCCTACGCAACCACAACAATAATACCATCAGTCCCGAACCGAGGAGAGAAGCACCACTTACAAACCAGTAACACAGACTCGTCCTCATCCTGTGTCAAGCCTAATTTAGACATGTCTACAACATCAGGATCGAGTTCTCCGAAATCCTGCTTCGACCCTTCGGTTGCTGCAATGGCCAACAGCAATCTGCAGCAGTTGCATCAGCAGCAAAGTATGCAATCAGCACCTGGCTTTATGCAGGGTAATAAATATCCCCCGTACATATGTCATGATGGGAAGATGGTGCAGCAGCAAGCTTTTACAAGTAAGTAGGGGATGAAATAGGGTTGATATTAGTGGGTGCATATAACTTGTTTATTTGTTCAGCTCCTTCCAATTGGTCAGATTTTCTACCACCGCCGCCAGATCATCCGCCCCCCACACCTTTGTTGGGCGCCCAAAGCATAGGACCATACGGAGCTCCGAGCCCGATTGTCGGCAAACGTTGCCCGCAGTTCAATTGTGGCAACACTAGAGCAGGATCACAGATGTCCAACTGTCACCACAATCACAAGTATGAAAACACACTAAAAACCAAACTAAAATTTTCTTTTATCTTATTTCACCTTATTTTTTACTTCTAGTCCAATGTCGGCCTCTCACCATTCATCAGGACATTCCTCTTGTGGTTCCTCGAGTGGGCACAGTGGCACTGGTTGCAATGGTTGCAGTAACAACGGTTGCAGCAATAATGCATGTTGCAATAATGGCTCGAATGCAGGGTACTCACCTTGGTGTCCTGTGCAAGGAAATCAAGGGAACAATTTGGGGGTTATGTACTCGCACGAGAATGTTTACAACAGTCCTGTTGCGCCTCCTTATGCTAATAATGGTCACCACAACAGGTAAGGGTAAAGGATATATGTGGGTAGTGCCTATTGGCAAGTTGCTCTTAGTTGTAGCAAAATCTTGCAGTAGAAAATTTCTTTCTAACTGTTATTGGTAACTGATTGGATTTTTTTCTTTAGATACCAAATGCAGCCCCCAAACCAGCACCCTCCCCAGTTACCAGGAACGTATCCAAACAGCCAGTTCGGCGGTTCGAACCCACACCACTCCGAGTACCAGTCTTCGTATGGCATGACCAGGCAACCAGGAAGCAACGGACATTGCATAAACTCATCCTCCAGGTCTTGTGCTTCCTACGAAGGCATATCCTGTTCAGACCAACACCAGGTTAGATACACACCACCAACCCACCACCAACTCCTAAAAACTTCACCAATTAATTTATACTCTTTACTCCTTTCCCAGATTATTGCAAACCACCACGCCAAAATGAATGGTTCATCCTGCACCTACCAGGATTGTTCTGCTCCTGAAGATGCAAGTGATAGACATAGTGAGGATTCCAGCAGCAGATGCTGCAGCTGCAGCGAAGGATCGTGTCTTTATGCTGAAGCAGGCGAACCTCAACAAATCCTCAGAATCGTTCAATAGGAAAGGGCTTTCTCGGATGAGATTTGTATGCACGCAGGAATCAAATATTGAGGTTAGGATTAAGATAAAGATAAAAAATTGAAAGGTAATGACTAATGCTGATTGGCCTGCTGTGCTAATCATAGTACAGTGGTAGGTTTTTGTGTAATTGATGCGTTCTTCCACGATTTATTTAATTACTTAGGAATTCTGAAATTTTGAATGATGGCGTCCATATACAGTAAAGTAATATACGTAACACTTTCTAAAGAAATTTGTACACTTTGCAATAGTTTTTAGTAAAACGGAAGACTGAGTGTAGGAATGAATATATAGAGGTTGTAAAATAGACTGGTGTTATGGCAAGGTTATGTTACGTGGCGATTTTTAAAAAAATGGTACTGAAAACTGTTAACATCATGTATGTTTTATTACTCATGTATTTTTGCGCGTCAGTAGAGTCCCCTTTTTGTCAAGTACTATTTTCTTTTAATCCTGTTTTTTGGTCTATTTTCCTTGAAAGTCCTTTTTTGGGAGTCGTTTTTTCTTGAAAATCGTTTTTTTTTTGAAAGTCGTTTTTTTTTGAAAGTTTTTTTTCTTGGAGTCCCAATGAATAATGAACTCTACTGACGATCAAATTTAAATTTTATGAGAGTTATTTATAAAAAAAGGGACTTCTACTGACGAGCAAACGTAAAAGAAATAAAAAAGGGACTCTACTGACGAGCAAACTTCAATATTGAACTAAAATATTGGAAAAAGGGATTCTACTGACGAGCAAACTTTAATTTTGATCTAGAATTTTGATAATGAAATAGAATTGTAAAAAAAGGGACTCTATTGACGAGCAAACTAAAATATCAATCTAGAATTACAAAAAAACGACTTTACTGACGAGCAAACTTTAATATTGATCTAGAATATTAAAAAGAAGGGACTCTACCGACGAGAAACTGTAATATCGATCTAGAATTTAAAGAAAAGGGACTCTACTGACGAGCAAACTGTCATATCGATTTAGAATATTACAGGAAGGGGTTCTACTGACGAGCAAAGTTTAATATTGATCTAGAATTTTCAAAAAAATAATTTTATAATTGAGAATATTAAAAAATGAACTCTACTGACGAGCAACCTACAATATTAATCTAGAATTAAAAAAAAGAAATAAGAAATAGAAAATTTACTGACGAATAAACTTTAATTTTGATGTACAATATTTAAAAAAAGAAACTGAACGTATTCTATCTAAAACGCCTGACTGCACACCAACTACATAACATTTCTACAATTTCAGTACCATTTTATATGAAAAATCTTACGTAACATTCGTCTATTTTACGACCCTTTAGTCTCATCAATATATAAATAAAATCACATCAATAACGCACAATATTTTTCAACTAAAAAAATCATTAATATTCTCCAACAATATAAATAATCCAATTTTCGACTAAAAAAGTTTTACTTTAATTTATAAGTTGAAACGAAAACTGCCTTTGATGAACTGATTAACATATCTTTAATAACCGACGACGAATAACCCATATCTTAATTTATATTAAATATTAAATAAATATATTAAACTATTATTTAATAAACTAATCATTAATTAATAAGCGTAGACGTTTTTCATGTAAATAACCTGTTTTCTTTCCTTCGTTACCAACTGCATTGTTAGATGTCGCTAGTATTAAATCGTTGTACATTGTATTTTGTACATATTGTATTTAAAGTTTATTGTTGTCCCAGAATTTAATGGAAGATTATTTAATATTTAAATAAGATAATATTAAGATAAGCGTAAGATTTTGTATTTATGGTGACTATTATTAAACGTGTAGTATTATTAAATGACTGTGGATAACGCAAGAGTTCGTTAAACGATTTAGATTGTAAGTTTAGTATATAAGATGACATGTGTCATGGTAATTTATATCTTGACATGTCATAATAAAGTAATCTTATGTGGGTGTTGACTGTTGGTCAATATCTGCTACAAAAATCGTCATTTTTGACAATTGTTTAATCAACGAAGTTTCTGTTATCATACATTCTTCCTTGCTTATTTATATGTAAAATACGTCTGATCGCACGGCAATTAGATAGACATGTCTTTTATGCATATAGTCATACATCATTTATGACATCTTGACATATATCATACTGATTATATATCTTGTTATCTGAATATTGACTATGATCATTCACTACGAATATTATCATTTTTCATTCTATCTGAAAATGATTTTTTATGTGTCATTTGATGTCATGTATTTTTCATGACATCTTGACATATGTCATTGAACATATTCTTGATAATGTTGATTGTTGGTAAACGTGTACTATAAAAACTGACATTTTTCGCTACCAATATTTGTAATTGATAAATATCAACTTTTTATAATTATGACAATTATCAATATCACGACATTGACATATTGACATTTCTGACACGTGTCAGAAAAATTGACATGAAATTGACACGATGCTTGGGAACATTGATACTAACAACATAATTGATTAATATAGTCAATATTCTATCGATTATATAAAAATGTCAATTATTGACACTTGTTACAAATATTGACTTATATATCAGAGATATTGACAAATTTTATTGACACGTCCATTTTTTGGAAATATTGATTACAAATAATGACATATGTCAATTATACAAGATTATTTTATAAATTATAATTGAAACATCTTTTAATAAATTAATTATTGATCTTATAGAAAATATTATCCGTTTCTAATGTCTGTCATATTGACATGTCAGTAGTATTGACATGTCACTGGCATCGTCAATGACACTCTAGAAATTTGATTAAAAAACATTTGAAATGGAAGTTTTTGACATTTTTCAAATATATTGACATAAGTCAAATGTCAAAGATATTGACATTTGTTATTGACACATTGACATTTATTAAAAATATCTCTACAAACATATTCTGAAATTTCTTTGTATCGACTTCATATAAGAATATCTGTTGTGATTTTGACATGTGTCAAAGATATTGACAATTGTCAATGACACCTTGACATTTATTAAAAATATCTCTACAAAATACTAAAATTTCATTGTATCGACTTTATACAAGAATGTCAGATTTTGACACCTCTCAGAGCTATTGACACATGTCATTACTATTGACAAAAGTCAATGACACCTTGACATTTATTAAAAATATCTCTACAAACAAATATTAAAATTAATTTGTATCGACTTTTTTATATAAGAATGTCAGTTGCTGACATCTGTTAGTGATATTGACATACATCACGTGTCAAATATATTGACAATTGTCATTGACACTGAAATATTTATACGAACATAAACTGAAATTGATTTGTAACGACGTTATAATATCAGTTGTTGACACTTGTCAGAGATATTGACAATTGTCATTGACACCTTGACATTTATTAAAAATATCTCTACGAACATATACTAAAATTGATTTATAACGACTTAATATAATGTCAGATATTGTCTTCTGTCAGTGATATTGGCATCTGTAATATATATTGACATACGTCATATGCATTGACATATGTCACATATATTGAAGTAAAAAAACTCAATGTGTCAATGACAATTATTGACACATTAAGTTTTTTTGGAATTTTGCTACGAACTGAAACTAAAATAGATTTGTACTGACTTTATATAATAGTGTCAGGTATTGGCATCTGTCAGAGCTATTGACATATGTCACACATGTTCACATATGTCACATATGTTGAGGTACTAATATATAACATATAAATATAAATCGTTATCGTAAACGTTAAATGTAAAAATCAACTTCAATCATTAATGTCGTACTAAAAATTAGTTAATTAGAGACTAAAATAATTATTATATATGTATAATGTAACCCTAGCCTAACATAGTTTAAAAGACTTTTTTAACCCCGTACATGTATATATGTAAATACTTTCCAAAAACAATTATAAACGATTAAGCAATTACGAAAACAGATAATCATTATAACCTCTAAATGTAGAACAAATAAATCATTTATATTCTTGATGTCATTTAGAAGTGACATAAGTTTTAAGTTTATAAAAATGTGTCATTTAAAATAGGCCTAGTCATTTCTGCGCCTAAATAAAGTACTTTTAGGTACTGATTTTTTTTTGTAATGGCGCAGAAGTAAAACTTCTTTATGTCGTAGGTGAAAAATTAAAAAAAATAGATTTTTTTTTGAGCCCTAGAGCACTTTTTTTTACTACGAGGAAAACGAGAGCCCCATAATATCTATAAATTTAATATATATATGAGAATAGATGATTATATAAATATATATATGAAAAACAATAAATTATATTATCCACGTTTAGATTTAAGGGCAGTAGGTTTAAGGGTTGTTTTGTTTTTAGTACCGAGGGATAAATTTGAAGTCAATTTTTTTTTTGAACTTGGTGTCAATTTATTTTTATCGATTGTCATTTGAATCATAGACCTTATACTACATGGACTAGTAGTTCTCATATGTTTTCGATTTTATAAGGGAAATGTGACGTCACTAAGTGAACGAGCGTTGCCGACAATCGCGGACTCTCCCGATTGATTAAATGTCATTTAAATCTATTGACATTTGTATTGATTGGTATTTTCATCGATTGACATTTGTAGTGATTGGAATTTTCATCGATTGACATTTGTATTGATTGGAATTTTTATTGATTGACATTTGGATTAAGTGACATTCGACTCAAATGACAATATCATCTGCCATGCGCGTTGACTGTAATTCATATAAATTGATATTTATATCAAATGACATTTATTTTAATTGTCTAATTTGTATGAAATGTGTTTTGTATTGAATATTATTTGTATTAAGTGACTAGTAATCAATTTTATTAATTGCCATGTGTCATTTTAATTAACATATGTCAATTCTTACTAATATTTGTATTATTATCAAATCGATTCAAATTTATTCCAAGGTACTATCACAAAACTTTGAGTCGAAATATTTTATATAACATTTGAAAAATAATTGTGGACAAATAATAGTGGCGCTGGTGTCGCCGAAAAGTGACAAATTAAGCAAAGATTCGAACCATTTTTATGTGTTTGTATTTTGAACACGTAAAAATTACGAAAACTTGGAAATTTGGTTTCAATGGAACATTTTATCAAAATCTGTTGACTTTTACAACCGCCTGTAGCGTTGATGTCGTCAAAAAATGACAAATTAAGCAGAGATTCAAACCATTTGTATAATTTTTGCAATTTGAACACGTAATAAATATGAGAACGAATCCCAAATTTTGTTTTAATGCCACATTTTGTCATTGTGACAATCGCCTGTAGCGCTGATGTGGCCAAAAAGTAAAAAATTAAGTAGAGATTCAAACCATCTTTATGGATTTTCGCATTTTGAACGTATAAAAATTTTGAAAATTATTTTTAAACTTAATTTTAGTACCATATTTTGTCATTGTGTTGTCCTTGACAACCGTCTGTAGCGCTGATGTCGCCGAAAAGTCAGAAATTAAGTAAGGATTCAAACCACTTTTATAGGTTTATGCATTTTGAACATGTGAAAATTATGAAAGCTCGAAATTCAGGTTCTGTAGATCATTATGATCTAGTGTTTTTTTCTCTTACAACCGTCTGTAGCGCTTATGTCGCCAAAAACTGACAAATTAAGCAAAGATTAAAACCATATTTATGGATTGTTTTCATTTCGAATATGTAACAATTATGAAAACGGAACGAGTTTTTAGTAGCAAATTTTGTCATTGTGTCGACAAAAAATGAAAAATTCAGCAAAGATTCAAACCAATTTTGAAGGTTTTTGCATTTTGAACGTATACAAATTATGAAAACGATTCCGAAATTTTGTTTTTTGATTTAAACCATTTTCATAGGTTTTTGTATTTGAATTTGTTAAAATTATGAAATTATGAAACTCGGAATTTAGATTTTAGTGAAACATTTTACCAAACTGTGTTGGCTTTTACAATCGCCTGCAGCGCTGATGTCGCCAAAAAGTGACATTAAGTAAAGATTCGAACCAGATGTCGGATTATTTTATGAATTATAAAATATAAAACGGATTCCAAAATTAGTTTCCAGTAACGTACTCTTAATTTTGACGTCGTTCATTGTTTTTAGGTAAATGACTATTTCAAATTATACAAAAATAATTATTTCAAATATTATATAATATATTTTGATTCAAAAATCTTGTTGCAAACGTACTAGAAATTATCTGTCCGAATTTATAACACTTACTAATTTTAACTAATTGCAACTTATTTTTTCGTTTATATTTTATTATTAATTTATATATTATTTACTTGATAAATAGACTTTTTCAAAAATATGTTAAAATAAAATAAAAATAGCATAAATAAAAACACTACATTACAATTTCTTAATTTATTTTAAATCAAAGGGTATAATTAAACATAATTTTATTTTGTTATCAAGAATTCAAACCTTATTAGGTTGTCATGCAAGCACTCATGTTTCACAAAAAAAA